TGAAATCCTACAACTTCCAAATTAAACCCCCCTTTCCCCGTGTGATTTAGGTCACCCTAAACTGAGAAACCCCAAAAAGGTTCTCAGTGCTCCAAAGGAAATCCTGAAGTGATTTTTCTTTTCTAATTTTTTTAAATTAAATTGATGACGGGTGGGAATGTTTGGAATTGTTTGCCATGGATCCCGTGCAGGGTCACACTTTGAGGTGGCCTCTGGCTCCTGGAACTCGTCCTGCTGTACATTCCCTGGAATCCAGCTGGGCTTGGATTCACTCTGGAGATTCGAGAAGCTGAGCAGGGAACCAGGACTGGTCCCATCATCTCCTCATTCCAAAGATTTGGAGAGATCCCCTTCTCCCAGTCCACATCCACGGAGGGCTGCTCTTGTATCCCTGGATCAATCCTTGGGTTTTCTCCGGGTATTTTTGGCTGGAAAAGGAGCACGTTTTGGCATGGCCATAAATAAGTGAAAGGGGTCTGTGGGGAGAACCAGTTAAACCAGTGGTGGGGAGGAGGAAACATCCCATAATCCCATTGACACCCCTGTTGTGGGGATGGACATTCCAAACCATGTTTCATCTCCCTGTTTTCCGTAAAAAATGGAGGCAGAGGGAAGTTTTTTATATGGATATAGTGACAGGACACAGGGAATGGCTCCCACTGCCAGAGGGCAGCCATGGATGGGATCTTGGGAATGAGGAATTCCTGGCTGGGCTGGAATTGCCAGAGCAGCTGGGGCTGCCCCTGGATCCCTGGAATGTCCCGGGAAGGACTGGAGCACCCTGAGATCATGGCAGGTGTCCCTGGAATGAGCTTTGAGGTCCCTTCCCACCCAAACTGGTCCAGGATTCTGGGATTTGGGACACTCAGAATCAATCCTGAGAGGTTTTTATGGAAAATGGGGATAGAAAAGAGAGGGAAAGGGAAGGGAGACCCTTCATGGCTTCCTGAGATTCCAAGTGAAGCCCCTGGGTCCATGAATTTCTTGGAGAGGAGATGGATCCAATGTCAGGCTGGGAGAGCTGGGAATGTTCCCCTGGAGAGGAGAAGGATCCAGGGAGAGCTTCCAGCACATTCCAGGGCCTGAAGGGGCTCCAGGAGAGCTGCAGAGGGACTGGGGACAAGGCCTGCAGGGACAGGACACAGGGAATGGCTCCCACTGCCAGAGGGCAGCCATGGATGGGATCTTGGGAATGAGGAATTCCTGGCTGGGCTGGGATTGCCAGAGCAGCTGGGGCTGCCCCTGGATCCCTGGAATGCCCAAGGAAAGGCTGGACACTGGGGCTGGAGCAGCCTGGGACAGTGGGAGGTGTCCCTGCCATGGCAGGGGTGGCACTGAGGGGCTCTGAGGTCCCTTCCCACCCATTCTGGGATTCTAAACCACCCTTGTTGGGTTTTCCATGGAGCAAAGTGGGAGAGTCCAGCAAGGAAAACAACTGGGAACACAATTTTGGAGGGGAGCAAAAGCCACTCCAGCCATTTGGGGCTGAATTTATCCAAGGAGAGCTTTATCTCGAAGTCAGACTGATAAGAACCATCCCATGAGCTGGAAATCCTCAAAGCTCCACAGGGCTGAGTGAGACTTCGTGGGCATCTTCACTCCAGCTGTTCTTGGTCACATCTCTCATCCCAAAAACTCATTTTTTGGGTCTTCCCTGCTGCTTTCAGGGCCTCAGGAAGAACAATGGGACAGAAACAGGAGCTGGGGGCCCTCCTGGTGTTTTTCCAGAGGTGCTTTGGGATCAGAAAACGCTGCTGGACCTTTCCCAGCTTTCATCTTATGGATGAGGTGTGGCTGCCAGGACTTTTTGCTCCATAAAACAGATGGAAACCCTTCCCTCTCCAGAGGGGTTGGCGTTCTGGGAGGTGTTGAATGCTCCTCTTTGTTTGCCTTGCTGTGCTCCCGTTCACTGCTCCCAAATATTCCTGATTGATTCAGGAGCCGAGGAGCCTGGCTTGGAAACCTCCCAAATTTGCTTCAGCACAGTTTATTTTTGTGGTTTGCATTTGGCCTGAGTTTGATGTTCCCTCTCCTGCTTTTCTTTGACAATTAAAGAACTCGCTTTGTTCTTCACCCCTGGGCCTTTGATGGAGCCTGTTTGGCTCCAGGCTTTGGGAATAAAAGCACGGAATTGTTCAGCTCCAGGTGTTCCCATCACACCTGTCAAGAGCCCAGCATAAAAATTCCACATGGCCCAAGCCCAGATCCTTGAGGAAAAGTCACCCATCCCAAGATTTATGGGCAGGGACACTTCCCACTGTCCCAGGCTGCTCCAGTCCCAGTGTCCAGCCTTTCCTTGGACATTCCAGGGATCCAGGGGCAGCCCCAGCTGCTCTGGCAATTCCAGCCCAGTCAGGAATTCCTCATTCCCAAAATCCCACTCCAATCTCCCTTTCCCAGGGAATTCCCTCCATTCCCAGCTCTCCCAGCCTGGCATTGGATCCATCCACACCCTGACTCTGCTCCAGGAAGGAATTTTGGGATGCAGGGGCTTCACTGGGAATCTCGGGACTCCAGGAAGGGTCTCCCTTCCCTTTTCCATCCCCAACTTCCATAAAAATCCCTCGGAATGGATTCTGAGTCTCCTCGATCCCAGAATCCCGGAATGGTTTGGGTGGGAAGGGACCTCAAATCCCATCCCATTCCAATCCCACCATCCCAGGCTGCTCCAGCCTTTCCTGGGATATTCCAGGGATCCAGGGGCAGCCCCAGCTGCTCTGGCAATCCCAGCCCAGCCAGGAATTCCTCATTCCCAAGATCCCATCCATGGCTGCCCTCTGGCAGTGGGAGCCATTCCCTGTGTCCTGTCCCTCAGGCCTTGTCCCCAGTCCCTCTGCAGCTCTCCTGGAGCCCCTTCAGGCCCTGGAATGTGCTGGAAGCTCTCCCTGGATCCTTCCCTTCTCCAGGGGAACATTCCCAGCTCTCCCAGCCTGGCTCCAGCCCTGGAGCAGCTCCATGGATTCCTCTGGATTTGCTCCAGCAGCTCCTGATGCATCCCCATTCTATCAGGAGCTTTGTAAACATAAAACAACTCCCACAATTTTTTTAGGACACTCCAGATTCCCTCAGCAGGATGGGACCTGCATCCCAAGGATGTTTTCCTCACTTGCATTTGGAGTAAAATCCCATTTATCCTCATGAGAAGGGAACAGCAGATTCCAAAGGCAGGGAGGGAGCAGCTCCCACCTCCCAGAGATGCCAAGGAGGGATGGAGCCAGTTTTCCTGACAGTTTTCCTGACAGTTTTCCTGCCTGTTTTCCCAGTAGCAGCAGCAGGAATCACAAATTTCCACCTGGAACAGCCCAGGAGCTCCATCCCTCGGAGCAGCTCCTGGCAGGAGTTAATTGGAAGCAAAGGAACCGCTGGGAAGAGCGGGATGAGCCCAAATCCACATGTCCAGAACAGAGCTGGATCCTCATCCATGGATGAGCTTTGGGATTATGGGACAATCCCAAAAATTCCTCCATGCTCCTCCATCCCTGCATTTAGGCTTATTCCTTTCCAGAGTTCATTGGGATAAATCCCCCTCATCTCCATATGGATAGACCCACAATTGCTTCATTTTCTTCCCTGAAATCCTGTACCTTTTTTTTCCCTATTTTTCCCTTTCTTTTTCTGCAGGAATATTTTTTCCTCTCCCATTTATTTAGATTTTTCTCTTCACTCCTCTTCTCCCTTCCCTCTTTTCCTTCCTTTTTTTTTTCTTTTTTTTTCTTTTTCCCTGCCAGCAACAAATCATTCCTCGAGGGAGCAGCAGTCTCCCAATTTTTCTTGGAAATGCCTCGTTCCTGGAGCAGGAAACTGCCAAAATTACAGAGAAATCACAGACTTAATGAAGTGTCATTACTCCAGGCAATTTCCCAGTAAATGGGATCCCAGGGAACATTCCAAACCTCAGCCAGGTCTTGGCAACCTCTGGAATCACCTCCACGAGGATCTGTGGAGCATTTTAGAGCCGTTCCCAGGGAAATGAGCAGCGGTGCCATCCCATGGTGCCACATCTGGGGGGTTTTCCCTCCTTTATCCCAAAAAATCCCACCCTGGATGGCTTCTCCCCATGCCAGCCTATCCTTCATCTCTCTTTTATCCCTTTTCCCCTCATCCTCATCCACTTCCAGTAAAGAATTCCAGTTTTAATTGGCTCAAAATTGGGGGTTTTTCCCCCCTGGTGAGCCAGAAATTTGCTGGGTTCATTATCCATGAGGTGGAATTATCCCGTGGTTTGTTAAAATCCAGGAAAACAGGATGAACATCCCTGAAAACTCCACTGAGCTGCACTCACCAACATTCCCTGGAAGTTTAGGATTTATTTTCCCTGCTTAAACCATCTAAAAATCCAGGAAATAATTGGAGGTGAATCCAGATCTTTGTTCCTAAAAAAAAATAAACAAAAGGGAATATCCCTAAATAATACACCACATCCTGATTTTTCTTTCTCCTTGCCCTCCTGGAAGGTCTCAAGACATTTATGGCAAACAAATTCAAATTTCACTTTCAGATCCAAATATTCCCCAAATATTTGCCTCAGGAAATAATTACCAAGAATATTCCTGATAGGAATATTCTCGTTTTTCCAATGGATCATTTCCCACTGTTGCTATGGAAAATCAGGAACCATTTAGGAGCCAGGTCAGGAATGATTTGCTTTACTTTGTGTGCCTTAAGTATTCCAAATTATCACCGAGGGGCTGATTAACACATGGCCCTTAATTGGCATTAATTGATGCTTTATTCCAATTGGATGCTCCAGGTGCAATAAACACGGAGTTGCCTGGGAATGGCTGGAGTAGGGAAGGATTTTTAGTTCAATTTTGGAATATTTTAGGTGGAGGTTTTATTGCTTTGAAACAGCCACAGATTTGTAGCTTGGTGTTAAACTGGAAAATGGAATCGTGGAATTCTTAAGGTTGGGAAAGATAATTTTGGTTTATTGGTATTAATATTATTATTTTATAATTATAAATTAGTGGAATCACGGAATGGGGTGGGAAAGATCCTCAAGCCCATCCAGTTCCATGGGCAGGGACACCTTCCATTATCCCAAGTTGTTCCAAGCTTCATCCAGCCTCACCTTGGACACTCCCAGGGATGGGGAATCCACAATTTCTCCAGGAAACCTTTCCCAGGGGCTCCCCATTCCCTGGGTAAGGAATTTTTTCCTCCCATCCAACCCAATTCTCTCCTCTGTTACTTTTAATCCATTCCCTGTCCGTATATCAGGTGCCGTGTTTCCCTCCCCACAGGAAAATGGGAATTCCGACAACGGCTCCGCGATCCCAAGGAGATCCAGGAGATCTCCTGAGCATGAGGGACACCCCACAAGGATCCCATTCCAGAGCCATCCCTGTGATCCAGGAGGAAGCAGTGCCCCTTCCCTGGAGGATTCACCACCAGCTCATCCCCCCGGTGCTCCGGGAGCTCGGAAATTCCCGTCGGGATCCGCGGTGAGCAATGGAAGTGGATTCCTGTTTTCCCATCCAGGCAAAGACACAATGAATGTGGAAATTTAGGGATAAATATCCATAAATAAAGCAGGAAACAGCTGCTGCAGGATCCATTTTTCATGGACAAACGGATCCTTCTCCATTAATTTATCCACGGAAATGAGGGAACAGAAGAATCTGGTTCTTGGGGAAAACAGAACAACTGGAATCCCCTTGGAATGTCGAAGGTGTTTCCCTGTGAGGGTGGGTGGTGATAAACCTGCCCATTCCTGACAAACCTGGACATTCCAGGGATCTTTAACCCAAGATCCCAGAAATATGGGCGGGGGGGAAGGGGGGGGAAGTGGATTTTTATAAAATTTAGGAGCAAAAAATCCTACTCCCAGGAGTTAAGGATGGAAAATCCGGGATAGTTTTCCCATAAATGGATTTCTTTGAAAGCAGGGAGTGAACCTTACCCTGCATTCCCAGGAGGAATGAGCTCATTCACACCTTCTCCAAAAATTCCAGGGTTAAAGTGGGACACCTGTGCCATTACCAAAAGCCTGGAATTTCTCAGGAATTCCTCAGGAATTCCTTGGTCCATGTCCCATCCAGGCTGGAGCAGATGGGGAGCCTGGAGGCCACCCCAAATCCAACCAGGAACCCTCCAAAGGATCCTGGTGATCCCTGGAAACCCCCAGCTTCCCTCTGGGATTCCCCACTTCCTTCCTCACATCCCATTCCTCAGAGGCATCTTTTCCATGGCTCAAGGAAAAGTTTTTCCAGCTGCTCTCACACTTCCCTCTCCTCCTTTTGAATCCAAGGCATATCCAGGCCCTCATCACCCAAGGAGAATTAAGGTACGGAATTCCTCCTGTCCTGCTCTTATCCCAGGGAGGAGGCAGCTGCTCCTTTCTCCTGTCCATCCTATCCCACCCGATCCCATCCCGTGGATGCCATGGATCTCATCAATCCTATCCTGATCCATTGATCCCGTCCCATTCCATGGATGCCATCCCTTCCTATCCCATGGATCCATGGATCCCATCCCATGGATCCCATAGATCTCATGGATCCCATACCGATCCATTGATCTCATCCCGTCCCATCCCATGGATTGCATGGATCCCATCCCATCCCATCCCATGGATCCCATCCCATGGCATCCTCTCCCATGGATCTCATGGATCCCACACATCCCATTCCATCCCATGAATCCCATCCTATGGATCCCATGGATCTCATCCCATCCCATCCCATGGATCCCATCCCAAGGATCCCATCCCATTGCATGGATCCTATCCCATCCCACAGATCCTATCCTATCCCATCCTATCCCATCCTATCCCATCCTATCCCATGGATCCCATCCCATCCCAGGATCCCATCCCATCCCACAGATCCCATCCCATCCCACGGATCCCATCCCATCCCACGGATCCCATCCCATCCCATGGATCCTATCCCATCCCATGGATCCTATCCCATCCCATGGATCCCATCCCATCCCACAGATCCTATCCTATCCCATCCTATCCCAGGATCCCATCCCATCCCATGAATCCTATCCCATCCCATGGATCCCATCCCATCCCACAGATCCTATCCTATCCCATCCTATCCCACCCCATCCCACAGATCCCATCCCATCCCATCCCATCCCATGAATCCTATCCCATCCCATGGATCCCATCCCATCCCATCCCATCCCATGGATCCCATCCCATCCCATCCCATCCCATGGATCCCATCCCATCCCACGGATCTCATCCCATCCCATGAATCCCATCCTATGGATCTCATCCCATCCCATCCTATGGATCCCATCCCATTCCATCCCATCCCATGAATCCCATCCCATCCCGGTGCATTTTTTCCTTGCAGAAGGAGGGAGGTGGCCCAGCAGATCCCTCCTCCCGTGGCCCAAAGGTCAGTGCTTTTATCCCACATTTTAATGCACATTCCCGGGATAATGATCCATTTTCCCAGAGCTGTCTCACTCTGGAATCTGAGGAATCACAGGGAAAAAGTCAGGAAAATCAAAACAAAATCAACAGTTTTGCCATTGGCGATGAGCAGAAATTCCAGGGTGGAATCCTTCACAGCTGATCCAAACATGGGATTTGTGCTTTGGGAATTCTCAATCAGTTTGGGATTCCTCCTGTCCCCTTCAAATTCATGGAATTACTTAACATCCGCTTCAAATTATTCCCTGTCTTGGGATAGGGAAACCCTGGATTTGTCTTTTCTCTGGGATTTGTGCTTTTCCCTCTGCATTCCCACTGCACAGGAGAATTCCCAATCCATTGTGGGAATGCGAGTGCTGGAAATCAGGGATTCCTCCATGGATATTTGCCAAAAACTGCAGCAGGAATGAGGGCAGCTGCTGCAAAAAGGGAAGGGAAAATCCCTAGGAATAATGAATTTTTGGGATTGATTTTCTTGGGGATTGGTTGTTTTCCAGGGAGAAATGGGAGCTCCTGGATCCCATGGAGAAAAAGGAGAAAAGGTAGGGATGAGTTTTTCCAGCCTGATCCTTTGAAACCAGAATTCCCTGTGCTGAGAGGGTCTGGAATGGGGAAGGCAGCTGGGAATACACTCAGCTCCAATGGAAAATGGGATTGGCACATTCCCACCTTTATCCCTGAACCTTCCTGGGGGTTTTGGTCCCAAATTCCAGGAGTTTTTCCACACTTCTGCCACGCTCAGGAGGAAATGCACAATTTAAAGGTTGGATTTAGTGATTTTTGAGGAATTTTCCAACCTAAATGATGGAATTATTCTATCCTACCATCCCAAAAATTCAAGCGGTGCGAAGAGGGAAGGGAAAGTTCCTAGGAATAATGAATTTTTGGGATTGAAGGGGTTGCTGGCTGTTTTCCAGGGAGAAATGGGAGCTCCTGGAGCCCGTGGAGACAAAGGAGAAAAGGTAGGGATGGGTTTTTCCAACCTGATCCTTTGAAATTCCAGCAGTTTCCCCCACATCTGCCACGCTCAGGAGGAAATACAAAATTTAAAGGTTGGATTTAGTGATTTTTGAGGAATTTTCCAACCTAAATGATGGAATTACTGTGTTCCATAACACCAAAAATTCAAGGGGGGGTCCCCAGTGTTCATTTTCTGCTGGATAAGAGAACTAAAAGATGGGATGAACAAGGAAATTCCAGCCCTGGCATGAGGGTAGGGATGGAAAAAATGCCACAAAAAACCTCATTTCATGGACACTTTGGGCAGTGAATTTTTTTTATTAATTATTAATAAATAATTAGGCAAAAATGTCTTCATCAGAATTATTTTTTATGGAGAAGCTGAAACTCCCAGGATAGGACAGAACGGTGCATGACACCAAAGTAATTAAATTAATGATTTCAGTGTTTGAAAATAGTTAATTTATTTAAAGCAATTATTTTTAAAGCAATTATCTATTCTTTTAAAATATTTATTATTTATTTTTAAGCAATTACCTTAAAATTAACCAAAAACCTCAATAATTGAAGTAGAGATTGATGCCACTCACCCAGACAACGACCTGAGAGGGACGTTTGATGGCCCCTCTCATCCCATCACTGAATTCCTTGGAATTAGGGCGTTTTCCCAGTTTTTCCCCACATTCCAGGCAGAGAATCCCTGGAAATCTCTTGCTCAGGGGTGACAATTCCATGACCTTGGAATCCTCTCTTTATTCCCCAGGGCACCAAAGGAGACCGAGGGGAGGAAGGTCAAAAGGTAAAGGACGGAGCTGGTGCCAGCCAGGGGTGACTTTTCCTCCTTTTCCCATATCCCAACTTCCCGCCTCGGGATCAGCGTCCAGGTCACCTCCTGAGGTGTGGCTGGGGACAGGGAATGTGTCTGACCCAAAATCCTGGGATAACGTTCCCAGGAATATTCCAGAAGGATCACAGGGACAGGACACCTTGGAGTCATGAATCCCAGGGAATATGTCTGATCCAGAATCCTGGGATAATATTCCCAGGAATATTCCAGGAGGATCACACAGACAGGACAGCTTGGAGTCATGAATCCCAGGGAATGTGTCTGACCCAAAATCCTGGGATAACATTCCCAGGAATATTCCAGAAGGATCACAGGGACAGGACACCTTGGGAATGAGCCATGAATGCCAGGGAATGTGTTTGACCCAAAATCCTGGGATAACGTTCCCAGGAATATTCCAGGAGGATCACACAGACAGGACACCTTGGGAATGAGCCATGAATGCCAGGGAATGTGTTTGACCCAAAATCCTGGGATAATGTTCCCAGGAATATTCCAGGAGGATCCCACAGACAGGACACCTTGGAGTCATGAATGCCAGGGAATGTGTCTGACCCAGAATCCTGGGATAACGTTCCCAGGAATATTCCAGGAGGATCACACGGATAAGACAGCTTGGAGTCATGAATCCCAGGGAATGTGTCTGACCCAGAATCCTGGGATAATGTTCCCAGGAATATTCCAGGAGGATCACACGGATAAGACACCTTGGAGTCATGAATCTCAGGGAATGTGTCTGACCCAGAATCCTGGGATAACATTCCCAGGAATATTCCAGAAGGATCACAGGGACAGGACACCTTGGGAATGATTGAGGGTTCTGCAGGAACCCTCGGAGTGGGATCAGCTCCGTGGGATTTCAGCTGGATCTCCCTGGAGCAGCACGAACCAAACTCTCCCTGTGCTGGGTTTACACTGGAAGGAGAATTCCTGATTTTTCCCGACTTTCCTTTCACAGGGAGAACCAGGAATTGGGTTCAGAGGTCCCATTGGCCAGGCTGGGCCACCTGGATTTAAGGTAAGGTTGAATCTCGCTTGGAATTTTTTTTTTCCCTGGGTTTTTCCTCTTTGTCATCCTGGTTTTCCGCTGCTGGGTGCGGAGCATGGAAGTGGCTGCAAAGAGAAAGCACCAAAATAATCCTGGAAAGACGGGAGAAGGATTTGGGATAGAGGGAATGCTCTGTGTCCTCCAAAGGGCCATTCCAGAGGGAGATCCTTAGGATAAATTTGGAATCATAGGAGGGTTTGGGCTGATCCCTCTGCAATCAGCAGGGACATCCTCAGGCTGGGAAAAGAATTCCAGGGAATTGTGGGTTCACCAGGAATGACTTCCTGGGATCCCTGGAATATTTGAATTCACCACAGGAGCTAAAGGCTCTGTCCTTATTTAGCCATGGAAAAGCCCTTTTGTCACCAAAACTTGGGAAGAAAAGACGTCCCAAAGTTCGGGGACAATTTCTCCAGCCCTTGGATCTCCTTGTGGATCAGGACTGGAAGTGGTGTCCCAAATTCCGCGCGCTGGTCGTGGGAATTCAAGGAGACATCCCAGACTTTCTCCAGGACCTCCAGCAAATCCCACCCAATATCCCAATTCCTTGTGATTCCCTCACCAGGGCGAGCCAGGGGCCCCAGGACCTCCAGGAGCTCAGGGCATCCAAGGAATTCGCGGCAACGCCGGCACTCCCGGATCCCAGGGGGACAGAGGGGCTCCGGGTGTGCCCGGAATTCCGGGACAGAAGGTGAGGGGACACCATGGGTTGTGTTTGTCACCTCAAGGTGACCACCATGAGCAAACTGCCCCTGTGGGCCAAACCCCCACAATTCCAGGTCTTCCTGAGCCTGGAGGTTTTCAGGGAAGTGGGGAAAAAAAATCCCTGTTGGAAAAGGAAAGGTACCGGGAATGATTAGAACGACGGGATGCTCCTCAGGTTCCTAAAGAAAGCAGTGGAGCTCCCAGGAAGTTGTTCTTCCTGGGAATTTAATGTAGCTGGAGGAGAGGACTGGGAAGGAGCGGCAGCTGGAATGTTGGGGTCATTAATCCCTGGGAACAGCGGGAGGAATCCCAGAATCCCAGGATCACTGAGGTTGGGAAGCCCTCCAAGGTCATGGGGTCCAGCTGTGCCAAATCCCCAGTGAGTGCCACCTCCAGGAATTCCTTGGACACCTCCAGGGATGGACAATCCAAACCTCCTTGGGCAGCCTCTGTCAATGCCTGACCGCCCTTTCCATGGGGAAATTCCTGCCAGTGCAAGGAACACTCAGATCCATGCTCCTGCTTTTGTCTGGATCAGGGAAATTGGGACCTTTCCCATCCGTGTGTTCTCCTCTCAAAGGCTTTTGTTTTCCAGGGGGAACGTGGGAGGAGAGGCCGGAGTGGAGCTCCTGGGCCCATGGGACCATCAGGATTCCCAGGAAAAGAGGTGGATTTGTACATATTCCCTGTGCTTTTGGGCAGCATGGATGAGGGATCTGGGCTGGATGGGCTTCGATCTTCTGGGAATGTTGGGATACGAGGGCACTGAGCACTTCCAAAGCAAATCCTCCCTTTTTATCTTGTTCTCCTTGTCCTACAGGGAATTCCTGGGACACCTGGACCCAAAGGCAACAAGGTCAGTGCCACCCTCCCAGGAAAGTCATGAGCAGAAATCCTGGGATGGGAATGGGACAATTCCCTGCCTTCTCCTGGCTCCTCATCCCTGACCCCATCCTACTCCATCCCATTCCACCCTCACTCCCTTCCTCCCATGGCTCCTGGAGCACCAGAGAACAGCAGAAAATCCATGGAAATGAGTCTCCTGAGTCTTCCTGGGATTTCAATCCTGGCCAAACTAATCAGGAGTTGTGCGGTGGGGTTTCCCTGCTCCTGGTGACACCTCTGGAATTCTCTGCTTTCCAGGGAGAAGCTGGCATTGGAGCTGTTGGTCCAAGAGGTCCCCATGGATTCCCTGGCCCTCGGGTAGGTCCATCCATAAATATTCCAGGCTTGGATTCCTGCAGCCTCCCGCCCCCTTTGGAAGTAACTTTATCCATCACCTCCTTCCCACCCATCCCAGAAATTCCTGAAGGGTTTCAGGCAGCAAAATTCCCTTTTCATCCTACCCCTGAGAAATTTTGGTCTCGTTCTGGCAAAGACAAAGTCAGAATTGGAGGCCGCGTTTAAATTTGCTGCTCCTGCGGCTGTCCCACAAATAAATCGGGATTTTACGGCCCCATCCATTGGGATAAACTCCCCACCTGCTTTGGGATGAGGCCCCCGAGGCAAAACACTCCCTGGAAATGTCAACAGCTGTGGGTAAACCTCGCTGGAGCTTCATTATCCAAAGGAAATGATGGAATCATGTTCCTGCTCTTCCGACTCCAGCATAAATCTAAATCCCAGGATCTCAAGTTGTGTTGGCTTCATATGGGAGACCTAAACTTGGCCTCAATTATTTGGAATTCGGGCAATTCCTGAGGTTTAAAGGCAGGTCCTGTAGGGTCAACTCAAGGAGGCCATAAAAGGCCTCCATGGACCCTCCAGCGTTGCTCTTTCATCCCAATCCATGAGAACACCCGGCACTTAATCCCCATGGAGGGATAAAGAGGTTGGAAAGTCCTCTGGAGACAGGGAATTCCGCCTGCCCCATTCCCAGCAGGACAGTTTGTGGGTTTGGGATTCCCTGTGTGCCTCATTCCTCTGCATCCCCCAGGGTGACGAGGGCATCGTGGGAATGCGGGGTCCCCCTGGAATGATGGTGAGTGTTCCCATATTCCCGAAAAAACCACAGATCCACGGCTGGCAGAATCCCCACAAGCCGTGAGAGAAATACAAGGGGATTATTCCAGTGGGAAACAGAGATTTGGGAACCTGAATTCCAGAGGGATGGGGGAGTGGAAATCCTGTGAATTCCTTACTGTCCTTGTCCTTTTGGGTGGCTCATCCCAAGGTTTGGAAGCCCTCCTGGAATATCAAGCCCTCCCTGCCGTTGTCAGGTCTGCAGGAATTTCAGGAATTTCACAGCAGGAATTTCAGTTCCACTGGAGAGGGCTGAGTAGGGGGAGACACAAATAGCAGCTGGAATTTGGATAAACTCATTATTATTTATTCATTATTATTTATTCATTATTATTTATTAGGCTGTTGTTTTTCATGGAATGAAAGGAACAGGATTTTTTTATAAGGACACAGAGTAATAGGAAGTGGGGGAATGGCTTTGAACTGGAATAGGGCAGGGAAAAATGGGATATTGGGAAGAAATTCTTCCCTGTGAGGCTGGGGAGGCCCTGGCACAGAATTCCCAGAAAAACTGTGGCTGCCCCATCCTTGGAAGTGTCCAAGGCCAGGTTGGACGAGGCTTGGAACACCCTGGGATAGTGGAAGGTGTCCCTGCATATGGAAATTCCCATCTTCCTGCATATTCCCGGGAATTTAGCAAACAGGGATGACCACAATGGGGTGACCAGGGGCTTTTCACCTCCCCAAATGTGCTTCCCATCCTGCCTTGGCTTCCATGGGATCTGGAGATCCCCATCAAGGATCCATCTCCACCTTGGAGGAACCTCTTGGAGCAACCCGGCTTTTCCTTGATGTTGAAGGTCCAAAAATCCCAGCGGGATTCTCAAAATGAGGGAATTTGGCTGAATTTATCCACCTGCCAGGAGATCCCGGTGGTGCACAGAGGGTTAAAGTAGGAGCTCCTGTGCTGGTTCTTCCAGCGGATTTTCCATGCTGGAGCCCACCCCTGGAAGCAGCTCTGCCTTTGGATGGAGGCCGCTCTTTCCCAACTTTCTCACCTTCCCAATTTCCACCTGTTTTTGTGGATCCTTACATATTTTTATGTGTTTTTCCAGGGTCCAAAAGGCTTCCCGGGCATGAAAGGCCAGAGAGTAAGAACTGATCTTATCTACAAAACTTATCTGCAACTCTTATCTCATCTGCAACTCTTATCTACATCTCTTATCCTATCTGCAACTCTTATCTGCATTTTGTTCCCTAGTGTTGTGGGCAGCAGCTGCCCTTTTAAACCAGTGGGAGTAATCCCAGGATCTCCTGGGAATGGACTGGGAAAACCCCTGGATCAGCCTTTGGGAATCATCCCAGATCTCCTGGGAAAGGACTGGGAGAGCCCCTGGGTCAGCCTTTGGGAATCATCCCAGATCTCCTGGGAATGGACTGGGAGAGCCCCTGGATCAGCCTTTGGGAATCATCCCAGATCTCCTGGGAATGGACTGGGAAAACCCCTGGATCAGACTTTGGGAATAATCCCAGATCTCCTGGAAAGGGACTGGGAGAACCCCTGGATCAGCCTTTGGGAATCACCCCAGGATCTCCTGGGAATGGACTGGGAGAGCCCCTGGATCAGCCTTTGGGAATAATCCCAGGATCTCCTGGGAATGGACTGGGAAAACCCCTGGATCAGCCTTTGGGAATAATCCCAAGGATCTCCTGGGAAGGGACTGGGAAAACCCCTGGATCAGCCTTTGGGAATCATCCCAGGATCTCCTGGGAATGCACTGGGAAAACCCCTGGATCAGCCTTTGGGAATAATCCCAGGATTTCCTGGGAAGGGACTGGGAAAACCCCTGGATCAGCCTTTGGGAATCATCCCAGATCTCCTGGGAAGGGACTGGGAGAACCCCTGGGTCAGCCTCATGTGCTCTGCACTCCAGCTCCTATTCCATACGGATTCCATTAAAATATTTGAGGGAGAAATTTGGGAAATCCTTCATTTTTAGGATGCCACCTCTGCAGGATGGAGATGCTGAATCCCATTGGGATGGGAAATCCAGCAGCAATCCTGCATTGTGCTGAGCATGGAGTCAGGAAACCCTCTCAGTCCTCTGGGGTTTTATTCACTGTCAGTGCCACAAATTTGGGGTTTCCACATGATTTCATGGCGAGCTGAGGGTTTTCCAGAGTGTCCAGAGGATCTGACTTCCAGCTCCAGGAGGTTTTAGTGGCTTGGACTGGGAATCAATGGCCTGAGCAGCACAAGAGGCAATAAAAAGGGAATAATTCACCTTTTTTTTTTATCTTTTCCTGTTTTTAGGGTGATCGGGGACTTGTGGGACCAAAGGGAGAACGAGTAAGGACATCCCAGGGTTTTTGGGGGTTTTCCTTTCACTGTGTGGCTCCCAGAAAAGCCTGGATCCATCCTCTCCTTGTTGTGCCTGTGAAATGTAGAGGATGCAACACTGGATTCTCCCCCTCCTTTTTGGGGGTCTCCACCAATTTAAATCCCAATTTTTTTATTCCATCCTCGCAATTTCTCAGAGCTGAGTTTGTGGGATGGATTTGATGGGATCCTACAAAGCACAACAATAATAATAATAAAAAAAAATTTTTAAAAAAAAGTAATTTTGGGAACAATTTGCTGGGGCACAAAAATCCTGAATTAAGAGAGGAAGAAAACTCCCCCTGATTTTTGGAATGAGCAGCTGACCCCAAAGCCAACCCTAATTTCCACCAGCCCGAGCTGGCTCCTGACAGGTAATGGGAAAATAACTCCTCAAGTGCTCCTGGAAAATGCTCAGAAACCGCTGAACTCGTGCCCGGCGTTTTGTTAAGTCCCTTCCTGGCCGGAATGGCTCTTTGGAAAATGAGGTTTTGGAAAAGCTCCGTGATGATGCCGCCTTTGAGTCATGCAATATTCCGTGATTAAGGCCCATTTGTCTCTGAGGAAGCTCCTCTGGAATGGAACTCGCCCCGGAGACCAATCAATTCTTAATTTGCTTTGTGAGGAGGCCCCGGAACTCTTCCCAAGACGAAGGAATGTGGGATGAGTTTTCCAAAGGATGCCTTGGTAAAAGATGAGGTGGAATCGGAGATAAAACGGGAGCCGGAGGGGAAAAACAGCTTGGGATTGTTCCACCTGATTGCAGCTTAATTTTCCATCTCATTCTCCCAGGATCGATGTGGGAATAACTCCATGGATCCCAGGGCTGGATTAAACTGCAGGATTTTTAGTCTCCCTTCTATTCCCAAAATTTGTTGAGCCCCGTCCTGCCTCTGTTAGAGAGGTGGGAAGCAGGAATGTGTATGAAACCAGAATGTGGAGAGGGTTGGACAGAGTCCAAAAAATGCCAGATTTTTGGGAATGTTGACGCATGCAGAGCTGGTAAAACCCCAGCAAGGCAGAGTCACCCAGATTGGGAATATTTGCACTGAAGAGAGTTGAGTGAAAGGAATTTTTTCCAAAGGGAACCCAGCTGTCCACCTTTCTTCTCCAGAGCAGAGACATTCCTTGGAATAGCCATGATTCCACTCCCTGAGGAGCTCAGCATGGATGTGTCCGTGGGGTCCCTGTGTCCCTGTGGCTCCCAGGGGTGACACTTTGGGGTGTCACCTCCCAGAACCTCCCTCTAAGAGGTGACCTTGGTGCCGTTCCTCAGCTCCAGCTGCATCCATCACCCGGGACACCACGGACAGCTCCATTCCCAATCCTGCCAGCGGCTGCTTCCCACCGCTGGGAAGAGCTGGAAATCCCGACCCCCTGAGTGACAACGCCACAGCTCAGTCACGGAATCTGTCCCAGCACTGGGATCAGGGAATGGTCCCATTGTCCGTTTCCATCCCGGAGAAATGCACTGGGATAACGCCAGCAGGCCCCAACATTTTTAGGAGGTCACTGGAAAACCTCAGGATTTGGGGTTTTCTGGGCATGTTCATGATTCAGCTTCTAATGAAGGGTGATTAACCCTAACAATTAATGTTGTTGTTGATCACTGCATTCCCAGTGGGATCCATCAGCTCACGGTGGATCCCTTTCCCTGTTTTCTCCTTTCTCCAGGGTGAATCCACGATGATTTTTGGACCCCAGGGCTACAAAGGCACCAAAGGAGATCCCGTAAGTTTGGCTTTCCAAGCTGTCCCTTCCCTGCTCGGGATCAGCGCTGGGAAGCAGCACTTGGATCCAGCTGGATCCTTCCAGGAGAGGTGGAATCATTCAAATCCACCAATTCCTGGTTTTCCTTTCAGGGTGAGCAGGGACTACCAGGTTTTGATGGAGACAAAGGCGAGAAGGGAGAGGACGGACCCGTAGGAGAAAAGGTGGGAATTTCCCAAAGCCTGTGAGGAAGGGACTGAGGGTGGTAAATAGAATTCCCAGAAAAATTATGGATGCCTCTGGATCCCTGGAAGTCCCAGGCTGGACGAGGCTTGGAGCAACCTGGGATTGTGGAGGGTGTCCCACAGCTGGGATTGGAACTGGGTGATCTCTAAAGTCACTTCCATCCCAAACCATCCCATCCGGGATTCTGCTGGAAAACACAGCCACACCCAACTCTGGCATGGACAGGGAGAGGAGGGGGCTGGGCAGGGGATTGGGGACCCCAAACACATCCCATTTCTCAGGTGTCCCACTGGGAAAAGCGACCATTCCATTCCCGCATCCTCCTCTCCCTCCAGGAGCCATCCCTGCTCCTGGAGCCTCTGGAATGCTCTTGGTAAGGCTTGGATGGCTCCTGTGCCCCTTTGTGTCCCCTGGGTGGTGGCAGAGCTCCTCCCTCTCCCTCTGCTCCCCAGGAGCTCATCCCAGGTCCCAACCCAGCCCCGTTCTCCTGGGAGGAATCATGGAATTCTCCCACTCCCAGCTGAGTCACAGCTCCCGTCTCCGTGTCCTACTCATCCCAATTTCCATCTCATGGAAATGGCTTTGGCCTCACAAGTCTGACCCCAGGACTGAATAAATTGAAGTTCCTACAGCAGCAGTGACACATCCAGCTCCTGTTATTTCCCACGGGAAGCTGGATCCCGGTGTATTCCGGGTGGGAATTGCCTGATCCAATGTGGGCACATCCCTTGGGAAGAGGCAGATCCTGCCCTTTTCTGATCCCGCTGCTCGGGTCCCCAAAGTGAAGGAAACTCTTGGAGATTCTCCCATGTTTTTTAAAGTCAGATAAAATTCCATATATTTAGTTCATCCGATTGGACTCTGATGAAAAATCCTCCATAAAAATGAATCCATAAAAAATAACCCTTTAAAATACTCCAGGAAAAAAAAAATCCATGAAAAATAATCCATAAAATAACACACGAACGTCTCCTCTTGGATAAATATCTGGATGACTTTGGAGAGTGGAATCTCCAGCCCCAGTGAGCCCAGCAGGGTCTTCTCCTGGATTTTTGGCAGAGATACAGCTCATCCCAAGGATCCAAACCCCCTTCCTGCCTGGTCTCCTGCAATCCCCACCACTGGGCAAGGAATCTTTTCCATAACAATTCCCAGAGGTTCCTGCCAAGTCCTGGCACTGGTGGCTTTCTTCCCGAGCCCTGGGATAGAATTTTTGATATGGAAATGGTGCTTTTGGTCAGCTTCGTTATCTCCATGGGTTTTCCCATGGATAAATTCCAGAGGGTAGGTGCTCACATTGTATTAAACAGGGATTTTAACATTTTAGGGAATCAAAGGAGAAGCTGGATCCAAGGGAATGATGGGACTTTTCGGGAGCAGAGGACCCGTGGGACAGAAGGTGAGCTCCAAACTTGAGGCATCTCCTGCCAGGACTGAGGTGGAAAATCCCATCTCAGTTTTCCCATGGGATATAATCCCTCATTCCCTCCCCAAATTTCCTGATTGGAATGATTTAAACTCTAGAAAAGCAGGAGCAGCTGCACTTTTCCAGGAAAATCCTGGAGATTTTAAAGGAGCAGAGCACTCTGGGAGGTTTTCCAGGCTGGAATGGTCACTAAGGAGTTGCTGGAATGTCAATATTCCAGGAGGGAGGTGACAGATGTTCTCCAAGCTCCATTTAGAGCCAGTGGAATCCATTGTTTTCCAGCTGGGATATTTGGGATATCCCACTGTCCTTCCAGCTGCTGCTCTAAGGAGCTCCTCAAAGCTCTCTTTGTCCCTTTTCCAGAATTCCTACAGCATTCCCTGTTTCCAGAGGGATCTCAGCTCTTCCCAAGGGTAACTCATCCCCGTTTTCCTTGCAGGGGGAGCCAGGAGAACCGAGCTCGCCGGGATCTTCCGTGAGTTGGAAAATGTTTCCCTGCTTTCCCAAACCCTGGGTGTGGAGAAGAGCCCTGGTCCTCCCCCAGGCCAGGAATTTGGGAAAGGGTGGGAAGAGGCCATGGGAACTCGGAGCTGCTCCCAAAGTCCGTGTTCCAGGAGGTTTTGCTTGGAAAACCAGCTTGGTTATCAGGGATCGCAGCCAGAGGTTTGGGGTTATGGCCTTTGGAAGAAATTCCTCTCTGTGAGGTTCCGGATGCCCTGGCACAGAATTCCCAGAAAATTATGGATGCCCCATCCCTGGAAGTGTCCAAGGCAATGGGAGGTGTCCCTGCCCTTGGGATTGGAACTGGATGGGCTTTGAGGTCCCTTCTCAACCTCAACCTTCTCAATTCCATGATTCCATGATTTTGCATTAAGGAACACAAGAAAAATACATTTAATTAATGTTTTTAATGCCTTTGGTGTATTCACCCCAAGTGGAAAAGTCTCCAAGCTCCAAAGACTCTCAGAATCATGGAATCATGGAACATTTGGAGTTGGAAAGGACCCACCAGGATCATCAAGTCCTACTCTTAATTAAGGGCCCAAACTCCAAATTTTCAAGGTTGTCCAAAGAAATGAGTTCCCATTGATTCCTGGTCACAGCCACGGAATTATTGACAGGCCTGGAATCCGAGTGGGAATTGCTCCCTGAGGAAAAGGACCTCCAAATTGAGGATATTTATGGAATTGTTTCATAGGGAACATCTGAATCCATGGAGTGAATCCATCCAGGAATAGAGCAAAGTTTGCTGAGTGCAAAGGGATGCCAGCATCCTGTTTTTCCCTGGATTTTAGGGATAATAACTCCCACAGAGTGGTGACCTGCCATCCACCACCTGAGCAAAGCAAAGGAATCTTCCTTTTGGAAATATCCTGGGATTCTGCTGGTGCAGGGCAAAGCTGGGATTTGGTCCCTCACCACATTCCCAAAATTGCAAAAGCCAGATCCAAGCTGGGACAATGCTGAAAGATCCATGAAAAATTCTGGAATTCAACCCACCTGGGGCTACCTCTGCCAGGTTCATTTCCCACTGGTTTTATTGGGAGATTTAGGGAATTCTCACCCATCATTTTAGGGAATTCTCACCCATCATTCCCATCCATTCAGGCACCCGAGGGAGGATCCTGATGGGAATTAAGCTCCCACTTCATTTCCTAAGCGCTCCCACTTTGATTATTCCTCCCCTGAGTTAATCTTGAGCTCTCCATCATTCCCCAAATCCTCTTTCCCCCTTTTCCCAACTCCCATCTTCCTGGATCCAACGCCAAATCTTCCAGGTAAAGCCTTGTGCTCCTCATTTCCCTTCATTTCCCTCTAATCCCATCTGTTATTCCCACAAATTGCCAACAATTGCTGCTCCTGCTGAATTCCCTGGCAGTGATTTTGTCACCCTCATCCATTTACTCTCCCGATTTTCTGATCCATGGAAGTTCCCAACTGAGCTGACAGCATTTGTGTCTTCTCCCTGCAATTATTCCTCGGAATATTTCAATGGATCCACTTGACTTCACACACAGGTTCAGTTTTGATATTCCAGGCGCCTCCTCCTCCTTTCCTCACTTTTCTAAAAGCTCTGCTCCCTTTTTATTTTACCATTCCTGCCTCTCTTCCCTCTTTTATGTTCCAATTGCTGCTTTTTATTCCCATTAACTCGTCATTTAGATCATGGACTCGAGTTTCCAGCTCCTCTCCTTTATTCCCCGTGATTGTGCATTAAAATAACGATGTGCATTAACCCGTTGTTCTCCCCAAAACTCTGATTTTTAATGCTCTTTTCTCTCATTTCTTGCTCCCTATTTTGGTTTTCCAGGGATTCTGAATCCCCGGAGTCTGGAGGGCGCCAGACTCGGAGCTCAGCAGGAGTGGGAATGGTTTATAAGCCGGAATTTGAGTTTATGATGGATATTAATTTTTTCAGGAATCCTAAAATGCTGAGGGTTGGATCATTCCCTCCCAGAGCCTCTCCTTCCAAACCCCCTGCCAAGGGGAATTTTCCACTAAACCAGGCAATTCCCACCCAAAACACCAAATTTTTTGGGGGGAAAAGCAACTCAAAACTGCAGCAGATAATCCTGCCCACAACCCAGCAGGGAAGGGCTAAAACCATTTTTCCAAAGTGGAGATTCCATTTGCATCATCCCATCAAATATTGAGGAGCAGGAACCCAGAAGGTGGAAAACCTTTTAGGAAGAACTTTGGGAATTCATCCTCCTTTTTGATGTGTGGCTTCAAACAGCTCCATCCTTCCGGGGGAGCATCCTGATGGATTCCAGCCTTTCCCAGGGTGTCCCTGCTCATTCCCAGCTCCTCCCTGGCTCCTCCCTGCCTCAGGCCTGTGGGAATTTTTGCCTGGAAGCGGAGGATCCAAGGTTTCTCTGCGTCACAGCGTTGGTGACTCAGCCTCTCTGCGTGGACCCGCAGCGTTGGCAGTTCAATTCCAGCAATGTTTTAATCCCAAATCCGAAGAGCCGGAGCCGTTTCCAGTATTCCTCCAGTAATTGCCTTTAAATTGCCATTTAAATTTTAATTTACTCCCATTTATTGTCCAGTCTTGACTTCCCTGGCACGACACCGGGATGGAAATCCGAGGGAACAAATTTCCATTTGGCTTCTTTGCATTTTCTTCTTATTTTTTCTTTTTTTCCCCTCGTTTTTCCTCTTTTAATTCCTCCTGTCCCATCTTTTCCCTCTCCTGGGAAAGCATCACCTCCATGACCTTCTTCCCTTTCAGGCCATGTCCAATCCCGATTTTAAACCTTCCAATCCACATTCCAAAATCTCTCCAGCCCATGATAAGCAGGAAACCACTTATGGAGAGGTAAAACCCAGCTCTAAATCTTATTTCTGTTGCCTGGATTAAGTAGGCCAGGCTTAGACCCAGATTTCCTTCAGCATATCCTTAAGTGAACTTAACTTTTCCTAAACCCATCTGGGATTCTCTCAGGATGAGAAGGATCTCATGGAAAGCAGGAATAGGAGTTGGACAGGAAAACATGGAAAACCTGGCACTGGAGATATTTGGGGAAATTTAGAGAAATATTAAAGCTAATTAGGAGAAGTCTAATTAATGTCAGGTTTTTTAGAAGAAGCTTTTTGTCCCATTCCTGGTCTGATCCCAGCTCCTTCAAAACTCCAGGCACTTGAAGGTATCCCGGATTTGTGGGATTTAACCATCACACGAATGGTTTATTACCCTCCAATCTGTCCCAGCAAACAGAAATATTCCCATTTTCCTGGGGTTTTATGGTTTATTTACATCCCCAGATGGAATTTTCTATTGCTTGTGTCAATAAATAATTACCAATAAAGAGATATCTGTGCCTGATAGTGCCTGGAATATGGAGGAACATGGATTTTCCCTGATCCAGGGAGTCCCTGGCAGACAAATCTGATTTTTTTACCTTAATGAATTTGTTTCTTTCCAACAACCACAGCAAACAAATTCCAAGCAGAGAATTCCACTTGTTCAGCCTGATTTCCTCAAGCAGCAAATTCATTCTCCCGTGAGAGGGGCTCAAGTGGGGATAAATCCAATTTTTCCTTCACATCCAGGTGTTGGGAAATGCCATCAAAATTGGCCAGGATGGATGAGGATACTGAAACAACCTTGGGAAAAAAATTAAACTTAAAAAAAAAAAAAAAAAGGGGGGTTTTAGCAGCTTTATTTGCTCCCACAACAACGGGAGTCTCCATGAAATGAGTTCCCAGTGCTGGATGTGGCTCCAGAAGCCAAATAATTCCAAAATGGGATAAAAAACCTGCACCCCCCTGGGTCTGACATTCCTTAAATCCCTGTTCCCATTCCCAACCCCATTCAAATCTCCTTGCCTGGAATGACCCTTTTGCTGCCACAATTTCCCCAGATGGAATTACAAATTCATCCCCTCCCAGGTTTCATTTGGCAGGGATTTACAATCCACGGAATTGGGGTGAGGAATGGGAGCTAAATCCCAGCCTCAGGCCTTGGGGCTGTTCCTGGGGGAGCTCCTGCCCTCGGACTGAGGGATCCTGCAGTTGGGATTCCATCCTGGACTCTCCTCATCCCTTTTCCCTGGAAAAAAATGGGCGCTGGAATGAATTTTTCCCAAATTTCCGGCAGGGTGCAGCAGGACTGGATGGGAAGAATGGGATCAAGGGAGCCAAAGGTGACAGAGGCCTTCAGGGGCAGAAGGGAAAGCCGGTGAGTGGCAGGAAAGGACACGGATTGTTGGGACAAGGCTCTGCTCCTTCCCAGATCCCACATTTCTCTCTGCTCCTTCCCAAATCCCACATTCCTGTCTGTGCTTCCCAGATCCCACATTCCTGTCTGTGCCTTCCCAAATCCCACATTCCTGTCTGTCCTTCCCAAATCCCACATTCCTATTTGTGCTTTCCTGATCCCACATTCCTGTCTGCTCCTTCCTAAATCCCACATTCCTGTCTGCTCCTTCCTAAATCCCACATTTCTCTCTGCTCCTTCCCAAATCCCACATTCCTGTCTGTGCTTCCCAGATCCCACATTCCTGTCTGTGCTTTCCTGATCCCACATTCCTGTCTGTGCTTTCCCACATTCCTGTCTTCTCCTTCCCAGATCCCACATTCCTGTTTGTGCTTCCCAGATCCCACATTTCTCTCTGCTCCTTCACAGATCCCACATTCCTGTCTGTGCTTTCCTGGTTCCCACATTCCTGTCTGTGCTTTCCTGATCCCACATTCCTATCTGCTCCTTCCCAAATCCCACATTCCTGTCTGTGCTTTCCTGGATCCCACATTCCTATTTGTGCTTTCCTGATCCCACATTCCTGTTTGTGCTTTCCTGATCCCACATTCCTGTCTGTGCCTTCCCAGATCCCACATTCCTGTTTGTGCTTCCCAGATCCCACATTCCTGTCTGCTCCTTCCCAAATCCCACATTCCTGTCTGTGCTTCCCAGATCCCACATTCCTGTCTGTGCTTTCCTGATCCCACATTCCTGTCTGTGCTTTCCCACATTCCTGTCTTCTCCTTCCCAGATCCCACATTCCTGTTTGTGCTTCCCAGATCCCACATTTCTCTCTGCTCCTTCCCAGATCCCACATTCCTGTCTGTGCTTCCCAGATCCCACATTCCTGTCTGTTCTTCCCAGATCCCACATTCCTGTCTGCTCCTTCCCAAATCCCACATTCCTGTCTGTGCCTTCCCAGATCCCACATTCCTGTCTGCTCCTTCCCAGATCCAACATTCCTGTCTGCTCCTTCCCAAATCCCACATTGCTCTCTGCTCCTTCCCAGATCCCACATTCCTGTCTGTGCTTCCCAGATCCCACATTCCTGTCTGTTCTTCCCAGATCCCACATTCCTGTCTGTGCTTTCCTGATCCCACATTCCTGTCTGCTCCTTCCCAGATCCCACATTCCTGTCTGTGCTTCCCAAATCCCACATTCCTGTCTGTTCTTCCCAGATCCCACATTCCTGTCTGTGCTTTCCTGATCCCACATTCCTGTCTGCTCCTTCCCAGATCCCACATTCCTGTCTGTGCTTTACTGATCCCACATCCCTGTCTGTCCTTCCCAAATCCCACATTCCTGTCTGTGCTTTCCTGATCCCACATTCCTCTCTGCTCCTTCCCAGATCCCCCATTCCTTTCCCTTCCCACCCCCTAAAGGCCTCAGGGCTTTCCTCAGGGTCTTTCCCAAATCCTGGAAAAGTCTCCAATGCACATCCTGGCCTCATTTTTAGGAGTTATCCTCCTCCACTTCCCAGCACACCCATATCCCAGAATTTTGCACTTATCCCGTGTTTCCCAGCCTGAGTTTTCCTCTGTTTCTTACCAACCCCCAAATTTCAATTCCCTCCAGATCCCAAGTCCCTCTCTGCCTGATGGAGAGCAGGAAATCAAAGAATCTCTACTAAATCCCTCATGGATTTCCTGGGATCGGCTCCTTCATGACAGGGAGGCTCCCAAAAAACTTCCAGCATGTGGTTGGGATTTTGGCCCATTATTCCTGAACTTTCATCTCCTTTGTCCTTTTTTTTCCATGTAGGGAGGGAAAGGTGACCCTGGGACCACTGGTGACACCGGGCAGAAAGGGACAAAGGTAGGACATGGATGAGATCCAGGGAAATCTCCATCCTTGGAAATGCCCAAAATCCCTGGGAAGGTGGCGGAACAGCTTTGGTTGGCACTACTTGGACTGGGAGTTGGAGAAACGTTCTCCAGAGCTCCTTCCAACCTCAACCACTCCATGATCCTGGGAAATAAAGGCTGGGACAAGCAGAGATGGGGAAGCAGCTTCCAGCACCCCCAGAATTCCTCCTCTGCCCTCATTCCCTGTGTTCTCCTTTATTCCCAGGGCTTGCGAGGGCTTCCAGGCCGGATCGGCGCTCCCGGAGCCAAAGGCGCCAAGGTGAGCCAAGCCCAGATTTCCACCCTGCTCCAGTTGCCCCATTCCCAAAATTGCTTCCCACTCATTCCCAGGAAAGTTTCGTGCGTGGAATCCTGAGGAATCCACCTCATTTCTGTGGGAAAATCCCTCCTGGAAGGCCTATGAAGAGCAGGGAATCATGGATCGGGAAGCTTTAAGGTTGCAGGGAATTTTGGGATAATCTGGGGTTAAAAACTAAACTAAACCCAGCCCAAATCTCTCCTGATCCATGGCAAGGAATCCTGAGGAATCCACCTCATTTCTGTGGGAAAATCCCTCCTGGAAGGCCTATGAAGAGCAGGGAATCATGGATCGGGAAGCTTTAAGGTTTGTAGGGAACTTCAGGATAATCTGGGGTTAAAAACTAAACTAAACCCAGCCCAAATCCCTCCTGATCCATGGCACGGAATCCTCAGGAATCCACCCAATTTCTGTGGGAAAATCCCTCTTGGAAGGCCTGGAAGAGCAGGGAATCATGGATTGGGAAGCTTTAAGGTTTGTAGGGAACTCCAGGATAATCTGGGGTTAAAAACTAAACTAAACCCAGCCCAAATCCCTCCTGATCCATGGCACGGAATCCTCAGGAATCCACCCAATTTCTGTGGGAAAATCCCTCTTGGAAGGCCTGGAAGAGCAGGGAATCATGGATTGGGAAGCTTTAAGGTTTGTAGGGAACTCCAGGATAATCTGGGGTTAAAAACTAAACTAAACCCAGCCCAAATCCCTCCTGATCCATGGCACGGAATCCTAAGGAATCCACCCCATTTCTGTGGGAAAATCCCTCTTGGAAGGCCTGGAAGAGCAGGGAATGATGGATCGGGAAGCTTTAAGACTTGCAGGGAACTCCAGGATAATCTCGGGTTAAAAACTAAACTAAACCCAGCCCAAATCCCTCCTGATCCATGGCACGGAATCCTAAGGAATCCACCCCATTTCTGTGGGAAAATCCCTCCTGGAAGGCCTAGAAGAACAGGGAATCATGGATTGGGAAGCTTTAAGGTTGCAGGGAATTTTGGGATAATCTGGGGTTAAAAACTAAACTAAACCCAGCCCAAATCCCTCCTGATCCGTGGCTTAGCAACAGCCTGGGCTCAGATCTAAATTGGTGCAGGGCTCTTATCAGCACCATTAGTCCCTTATCAGTAAACAACGCTAATGAGCCTTAATGGGCTTTTTATGGGGGGATTGGGAAGTTTGATAAGAGAAATGGGAGCTGTTGGTGACAGAGGCAATGTTGATGTTATTGTTGTGGTTATAATCATTCTTAAAATTAATATTATTTTTATTATTATTGTTACTAACACTTTGATTCATCATCCCCGCTCCATTTCATAACTGCATTTTTATCTAGGGAATATTCCCCACCTACTTTCCTCCAGGCGAGCTTGGAGTTGGGATAATCTCCAGTTTTAAAGATTCCAAATTATCTTGGTTATGAGTTAAATTAGTGTTAGTTTGTTAATTTGTCTCATTTGTTAATAGTTACATTTTAGTGATCTGAAATTTCCAGGCTGAGGTGAGACTTTATCTCTGAGTGTCATCCCTGGATTATCCCTTTCCTTGCTTTTCCAGAGTTTTCCCGATGTTTTGGGGGTTCTTTGTCCTCACAGCCCCTCCACTGCTTTTCCATCCACAGGGAGAAGTTGGCAATCCTGGAAAACCAGGAATTCCAGGATCGAATGGGCAGCATGGACCAAAGGTGAGGATCTGAATCATCACAAAACCATGGAATGGTTTGGGAAGGGACATTAAAGGTCATCCCTCAAGAGTTTTCCCAGAAGTTTTCCCAGATCCACCTCTGGAAAATGCTTGTTTCTTCCAAAGGGCATAAATTGGGTTTTCCTGGATCCATTCCCATAAATCAGCATGGATTGGGTGAGGATTCTTGGATATTGGGATTGGGATCTTTACTCACCTCCTCAGCTGAATTCACCCATCCCAATGCTGATACTTCACAGGCTCTTTTCCATTTTTATGGGAATTTTCCCTCTCCTGGAATACCACCAGTGCCCAAACTGAGGTGACACTCAGTAAACACCTCTAACCCAAGGAAAAACCGGTTAATTCCCAAAATCCCAGCTTTTCCAAGCCCACATTAGCCATGCTTTTACCTTGACTCCTTCCAGGGCGAACCAGGAGCCTCAGGGAACGACGGCACCTCGGGAATTCCTGGGGAGAAAGGAGAAAAGGTTGGTGCTGAGCACGCTGCCATTTCCAAGGAATAAATCCCACATCCATCAGGTGGAGTTAACAAAATTTAACATTTTCCACATCACTGGTGCCCTTTCCAGAGGGGAAATGTCAACTGGCTGGAACGTTAGGGTTGGGAATGCAGTTGGAAAAGGGCAGAGGAGAGAGGTCTCCTTAAATTCCCCTCTGTCCGTGGATAAAATCCCAGGAGGAGCCAGTTTAGTGTGAGGAGAAGCCATCCAGAGGGGCTGGGAATCACTGGCAGAGTTATTCCACCACCATTCCCAGGGTAAATCCCTGGGATGCTCTGGGGTAGGAGAAGTGGATCAGGCTGTGGCCACCTTGCCATGGGAAATGGGAAAGGTCTCCAAGCTGATCCCGAGTTCTGTTCTCATCTCCTTGAGGAATTCCCACCTTGATCACTCCCTACCAATCTTCCTCCTCGGCATTCCTTAATTTCCTGCTTTATTCCTTAAAAAAAACACACCTAAATTTGTACTCTGCCACCTGGGGGAAAAAAATGGGATTTCTGAAAGGGGAAAAAAAAACCCAACAAAACCAACAAAATCTCAGCAGCCTCCATCAAATCTCTTGGCATTTTCCACCCTCAGAGCCTTCCTGCATTCCAGTCTCCAATGGATTTGGGATCTTAAAGGATTTTATTGATAACAAACCTGTTCCCCACTCCCTGATGGTCAAACACCTCCTGAAGTCTCTGGCTGGTGGCTTGGAGATCATTCCCAGGGAATTCTCATTCCCTTCCTCTCCTGGCCTTCTCCTCTCCCACAGATTTGTTTTCCACCATTGCTGGCTGTTGGATTTTTCCTTCTGCTGGGTTTCATGGGAATATTTTCTGTTCCAGCAGCTCTGGGATAAGCTCAGTGGTGAAGATGACATTTATAGGTTTGGGATCTTCCTCTTTCCTCATTTTTCCCAGGGTTACAAATGAAAGGGTTCAGTTTAGGTGAGCTGGGAATTTCAGAATCCTTGGGAATAGCTGGATAGAAAATCCAAGTCACCTTTCCTTCTGGACTAGGAAAGGTGGAGAGCAAATCTCCCACTCCAAAGGAATGTGGGAGGTGTTCCCGTATTCCCAACCCCGTGAAAGTGTTTGGATGAGGTTTGGCTGCCCCATCCCTAAAACCCCTGTGATTCCCAGGGAGCCAAGGGAGTTCCTGGATTGGGAGGATTCAAGGGACAAGCGGGATGGCCGGGGAAGCCTGGAGGGGCCGGAGCAGCTGGACCTCGAGGGCCACAGGGCGAGCCAGGCCCACAGGTGAGCAGCAGGTCCTGAATCCCACAGGAACCCCACAGAAATCTCAGCAGGTCCTGAATCCCACGGGTCCTGAATCCCACAGGAATCCCAGCAGATCCTGAATCCCACAGATCCGGAATCCCACAGGAATCTCAGCAGGTCCAGAATCCCACAGGAATCCCACAGGAATCCCACAGGAATCTCAGCAGGTCCTGAATCCCACAGAAATCAAACAAGTCCTGAATCCCAGCAGATCCTGATTCCCACAGGTCCTGAACTCCACAGGTTCTGAATCCCACAAAAATCTCAGTGGGTCCTGAATCCCACAGGAATCCCACATCTCCTGAATCCCACAGGTCCTGAATCCCACAGTAATCCAACAGCTCCTGAATCCCACAGGAATCAAACAGGTCCTGAATCCCACAGGAATCAAACAGGTCCTGAATCCCACAGGAATCAAACAGGTCCTGATTCCCACAGGTCCTGAATTCCACAGGTTCTGAATCCCACAAGAATCTCAGCGGGTCCTGAATCCCACAGGTCCTGAATCCCACAGGAATCAAACAGGTCCTGAATCCCACAGAAATCAAACAGGTCCTGAATCCCAGCAGGTCCTGATTCCCACAGGTCCTGAATTCCACAGGTTCTGAATCCCACAGGAATCTCAGCGGGTCCTGAATCCCACAGGAATCAAACAGGTCCTGAATCCCACAGGAATCAAATGGGTCATGAATCCCACAGGAATCCCACAGTAATCTCACAGATCCTGAATCCCACAGGAATTAAACAGGTCCTGAATCCCAGCAGGTCCTGATTCCCACAGGTCCTGAATTCCACAGGTTCTGAATCCCACAGGTTCTGAATCCCACAAGAATCTCAGTGGGTCCTGAATCCCACAGGTCCTGAATCCCACAGAAATACCACAGGTCCTGAATACCACAGGAATACCACAGATCCTGAATCCCAGTAGGTCCTGACTAACACAGGTCCTGAATCCCACAGGAATCCCACAGGTCCCGATTTCCACAATTTCCTGATCCCCACAGATCCTGAATCACAGCAGGTCCTGAATCCCACAGATCCCAAATCCAATAGGAATCCCAGCAAGTCCTGAATCCCACAGGAATCCCAGTGGGTCCTGAATCCCACAGGAATCCTAAATCCCACAGGAATCCACTCCTGGACACCCCTGAAGTGTCCCCATGTCCCCCCTCTCCAGAGCTCTCCCACATTCCCTCTTCCCGCAGGATTTTGATCCATGGATTCCATCTCCCACTTCCTTTCCCTCCGGACATTTTCCCTCCCCTTTCCTCCCCTCCTTTCCCGTCTCTTCAGGGGAAGATTTGACCTCTCCACGGAGAGATAATTCCAAGTCACCAGGACACCAAGTGGTTAATTATCCCAGGAAGCTCTCAGCTCCCAATTTTAATGAATATTTTTGCATTCCAGCCACGCTGGGCACATTTAGAATCATAGGGAAAAAAAATCCTGGGAAATGAGATGTTAATTCCATCAATGAGCTGGATCACCCTGCCCTGGAAGTTTTCTTGAGACAGCTCTGAGAAATAAATAACTTTGCAAAGTGGAAAAAAAAGGCTGGAAATGAAAATTCCCTCCGTGGTTTTGCTGGGAGAGTTTCAGGCTTGGATTAAAGAATACAAAAATTACCCGGAAGATTCAAGAATCAGAGAAAAGTTGGAATAAAATAACCTGAAAAACCAAATTTTAACCGTAAACCCTGCTTGATTCCTGACAATGACAGCAATAATTTGGATTTTGGAGGCAGAAATTGGGACAATTCCCAATTTTCTGGGAAAATCTGAGTGAGACTGGATCTCATCAGATCCACTCTCCTGGATTTCCAAGGTCTCCTTATCCTACAGATCTTTGCAGGAATTCTGACATGGATGGGTCACTAAAAAAATCTCTATTCCACCTTATTCCAGCAGAATTTTCCTACTTTTTTCCCACGCCAATATCCATTGACAACTTTTACACCACATTAGCTCCATCAGGATCAAATATTGGCAGGATTTTGGCAGATTCCACATGAAAAATGATGTTTTGATTAATTAAGTTATTAAAAACTGCAATATTGGTATCTGAAATGGGAGATGTTGATCAGAACATGAGGCTGCTCTTCAGAAAGACAAAAAATGTGTGATCCCATGGAATTACCAAAAAAAAAAAGGGATTTAAGGCAAGAAGAGGGATGCAGAGCAGAAAGGATAAACAAGGAACTCAACGCACATCCAGAAATTCCCAATATTTTTTTTTCATGGCATCAGATCTCCTTAATCAACTCCTTTATCACAAAATCAACTTTAAAACAACTCCCAGATATTTCTCTCTTTTTTTTTTTTTTTTTTTTTCCTTCCCAAAGACACTTGGATTTTCTCCCTGCTAATTTGCCTTTTGGAAGCTGAATTTTACCTGGAAAATACCTCTGGAAATCGGCATCTTCCTTAAAAATAGGAACTTGAAGTCCCCAAATAAAGATGCTGGAAGTGAGGCAGGGATCTTCAAGAGGAATTTTGAAAGGTGGTTATAGGAGGAAGGTGGGAAAAGGTCCTTCCAGAACAATAAAATATGGATTAAATCCTGCTACAGCCCATGGAAACAAAATTATTCTTCCTTCTCTTGCTCCCCAGGCTGTGACTTGCCATGAAAAATAAATCAAAGGAATCACAGGAGGGAGGAGGGAGCCGAAAGTACAAGATTCCCTCATGGATATTTAAAAAGGCTGGAATTTTTGATGTTATTAGCAAGCCTGTCTGGGATAATAAATGGCTTTTTTTTTGGACACTGATTAAAGAGAGGCTGTGAGGTGCCACTTTTTCCACCCACACTGCTCCTTGGCTTCTCCTGGAATTAAAGGAGAAACGCTGGGAATGGCTTGTGGGGTTGGGAGAGGGGGGAAAAAATTCCAGAGCAGATTCCCATCCCAGGCTGGGTTTTAGGGGGAAAATCCCAAAGAAATGGGGGATATCTCTGGAAGTGCTGACTGAACTCTCCTTTTCCTCTCCAGGGTCCACCAGGGAGAAGAGGGAGACCCCAGCTCTGCCTCCAGGGACCTCCGGGCATGGATGGGCCAAAAGGAGAAGCGGTCAGTACGGGAACGATCCGGTGGGGTTCCCAAAATTCCAAACTGGGCTTGGATGAACCTTGGATCTTCCAGGTTTCATTTCTCAGCTCTCCAGATTTTCCAACAAGAGCAGAGCCGTCGGAATCCCAAATTCCAGGCAGCAGTGCTGCCCAAATTCCTGCCTGGAGGTGTCTCCAGCTGGGGCGGGAGATTCCTTTGGGAAAACATCAAACTTTGGATCAGCACATCCCCGAGGCAGAGCAGGAATGACCCAGTAATCAGTGCAGGATAATTAATGCACAATTAATGCTCAGCAGAGAATTCCAACAGGAGCTTTGGATCCCAGGGTGATTCCCCAGCCTGTTTGGGGTCAGTCTCTGCACCCTGCAAACCCCAATGTCCCAAGGGATTTTAGGATCAGGAGTGGCACTGCTTTAACTCCATGTGCTGCTGGTGGATAATGTGATTTTTCCTGGCACTGGAAGTGAGCATGGATTGAGAAAAATGATCCTCCCGGCTTTAATTGGGATCATCCTTCTTGTGCTCCTTGTCCTTTAATATTTTGAAGTACCCTTAATGCACAAATCCAGTTTCCAGCAGTTCTGAGTGGAAAATTTGTCAGGGTGTTTTTATCCCTTGTTGACAAAGCTCGACATCTCCTTGTTTTTCCATCTTTCCAGCACTGGAATTGCAGCTCCAGTTTCAAATCTTCTGCTTGAGCTGATTCCCAAAGATTCTGTGCAGACCCTCTCCTTGTATCCATCTCTTCCAGCTGGAAAATAAACCTGACTTGATCCATGGATTTCATCTCCCAGTTCGTTTTCCATCCCCTTTCCTCCCCTCCTTTCCCATCTCTTCAGGGGAAGATTTGACCTCTCCACTGAGAGATAATTCCAAGTGATCAGGACATCAAGTGCTTAATTATCCCAGGATAATTAAGCTTGGGAACGCCGTCTCTCAGCTCCTGTTTTTAATGAATAATGTTGGGATGGAGCAGAGCTCCCAAAAAATCTGGGATAATCTGATGGACACATGGACGAGGCTGTTCCTGTCAGCCCACTGAGCCACTCACAGATAATCCCTAAAATTTATAGGAAAACACGTGAGGCTTTTTACCCACCTCCCTTCCGAGCTATCATCCCTAAAGGAGCGCTTATTCCCAGAGCATTTCATGGACAATCTCCAGAGATTTGGTAATGATGGAAGTGTTTTTGACAGGGGGAAAATGGTCCTGCCGGGCAGAAAGGAGCCAAGGGCGATCCGGGCCTTTCCGTGAGTGCTTTCTCTCCAAGATCGTTTCCCATTTCGGGGGGAAAATGGAGAAAATTGGCCAAAGAGGCCGAGGGGAGGAGGGAAATGCTGAGAAATGGATTCACTCCGAGAATATCTGGGAAATGAAGCTGTTGGTGTTACCCAGGGATGGCAGAGTGGGAGAAAAGCTGGGCTCTACAAAGCCAAGCCTAAAGGACCAGGAAGATTTTCCCCCCAGCTCCTGGTGGTCCAGGGATGATCCAAGCCAAAGGAAAAGCAGGAGAGGAAAATTCCCCTCATTTTCAAAGCCTTTAGGGAAAAACTGCTGCCCTGGGCTTCCAAATCCTGAGGAAGAAGGAGGGGGTTGAGCCACGTGGATCAGGACAAAATTCCTGTTGCATCTCCCTTCACATCCCTTCATCCCGGATTTTGTGCCACTTGACTGACGCAAGGAATTATTTCCATTTTCCCAGAGTGTGTATTGATTTTCCAAGCAGGATTAATTTTAGCAGGGGGGTTGTGGGAAAGGATCTCCTAAATTTGGGCTGCTGAAAATTCCAGCTCCCTACATGGGAAGATACCCTAAAATTTAGAATCCCAAGAAGGATAAGAAGTGATGACCCCAGAAGTCCAGTCGGACATTGACCATCCCACAGGGAAGATTCCCAATGGATCAGTGGCTGTTAGCTGTCCCAGGAATGAAGGATGGGCTCCAAATCCATGAGATCAGAGCTCTCATTCCATGGGGAACGGCGCTGGCTGGGAAAGAGGCAGAGAAAGCAGGAGGAGGTGCAGCTCCAAATAATCAAATGTGGTTCCACAGCCCCATTCCCAAGGGACAATCCTGGAGGATAATTTGGATGCAGGTGGCTCCAAGGCTTTTCAGAGCTCAGGGAAGTTTGGGAGATTGTGGCTTTGGGGACAATACCAGGAGCGTGGGGACACTCCTTGGAAAGCCAGCCAAGGTTTGATGGGTGACAGGGGTTTTTACAAACCCTTCCAGTTTGGGACATGGAATGGTTTGGGATGGAAGAGGCCTTAAAAATCCTCCAATTCCGAGGCAGGGATTCCAACAGAGAGTTGGACTCGATGGTCTTTATTGATCCCTTCCAATTTAGGACATGGAATTGCTTGGGATGGAAGGGACCTTAAAAATCATCCACTGCTTGGAAAGCCAGCCAAGGTTTGAGGGGTGAAGTGGGTTGGGCTCCCATTCCTCGTGGCCAGAGGAGATGGCTGCAGGAAAACCAGGAATTTCCAGAGGGAATGAGCCACAAATCTTGAACCGAGCTCCCCATCACACCAAATCTCCACTCTTGTTACACCCCAAACAAGGTGGCTCCACCTCGGTGGGACAATCAGGGAGATGCTGCCAGGGTCGGAATTCATCCCTAAATTCCATTTTTCCCACTCTGGCACAGGAGGAAGAGGTGAAGGAAGTGCTGAGGAGCGAAATGAGAGGGATTTGTGGTGAGTTGGCCCCGTGGCGACCCTGCCAGCAGCTAAATTGGAGCCATTTCTGTGCCGGCACGCGTCCAAATGTCACCGTCAGCAGCAGGTGGAGCTGGGGCCCCTCTCCAGGAGTGTGGAATTCCAGGCCCTGCAGATTCCTGACCTCCTGAAACTCTCCATTTTTATCCCTTAACCTCCCCTGTCTCTTCCCATTTGGTTTTGTCAGCAAATCTTTCCCCCATTTCCTCATGGATTGGGAAAGTGCAGGGTCACTCAGAGCTCGCTGAACCTTTTAATTCTCAGTTTTTTGTGGCATTCCTTGGCATACACAATTCTCCACTCCCACTGGGAATAACTACCACCAGCACCACAAAAAAAACCCAAAAAAACCAACAAAAAAAACCCACCCAAAACCACCAAACAAACAAAACCCACAAAAAAAATCAAACCAAACAACAACAAAAACACAACAAACAAAAAACACCAAAAAAAAAAAAAAAAGAGGAAAATTTGGGGATGGTTTTATCTCAGAACCTCAACAGAAATTTTTCGAGGTCTTGCTTTCCTTGCCCTGAAGAAATCCATGAATTTGAGATCCAGCAGAAAATTCCTACCCCATTCCCTGGGCTTTCCCTATGGATATGGAAGATTTTTAGGTTCACCACCGCTGGAGCTGTTAGGAAGCATTTGGATCCTTGAAAACGGGGAAAAAGGGATGAAAAATAATCCATAAAAGTAATTATTTCCTTGGAAAATCTTATTTATGTTGGTAAAAAAAAGTAGCAAACAAACTCTTCCCTGTCTCTTCTGTCTGCAGGTTGTGGAGGTGAGTTGGGAAGAATATCCAAGGAAAAGGGTAAGGCTGGGAATTCACACAGGAAAGGATCTTCTCCTTGCCCCAAACCAGCCCGAAACTGCAAGTGAAAAGTTGTTTTTAGGAATAAATGGGTTTTTTTTCTGGGATTCAGTGCAGGAAATGTTGGATCACCAACAGCTTTTGGACCCTGGTTTGAGGGGGATGGGTCTTCCTGAGAGGAATCTGAGGGATCAGAGGGAATCCTGGAAGTCTCCTGTTTTCACCCTCTCCACCAGGACATGATCAAATCCCTTCCTGACTCCCAGTTTTTAAAGCTGAACCCACAGAAATCCCAATCCCTGCCCACAAAATTCCGGGGTTGCTCCCAGGATCAGCTCCAGGACTCATGGAATCCTCAAATCCAATGGTCCACAGAGCCTGGAGCGCTGATCTGCCCACCCCAAAGCATTGGATTCATCCTCAGTGACCCTCATCCCACAGGTCTGGAGGCAGCTGAAGTCCACAGGCAGCTCCAAGGGTATTCCCAGTCTCGGGAATACACCAGGAATGGTGAAAAGTGGGAAGAAAAACTTGGCACAACTCACGGCAAGACCACGGTGAAGCCCTCCATGGAGCCACCTCCACTCCTTGCAGGTGAGTTCAGGTTCCTCCTTCCCATCTTTCCAACCATGGAATGCTCTGGAGCATTCCATGATAAATCCGCTTCCCTGGATTTGGGCAAGAATGAGGCAGGGATGGGATTGCCAGTGAGGGCTCCCACGCTCTTGGAGATGACACGAGCCAATGCCCCTGGAAGGTGAGGAAAACCTAAATATTTGTAGGATCAGTGGTGATCCCAACCTTCCAAAGGGTTTTTTTAAAAAAGCCATGAGGAGGCTCCCATTTCCAGTCTGATTTTGTCCCACTTTTCCCACCACATCCTTGGCAAGTTCCAGTAAAACTTTCAACCAGGCAGAAATGGGATCTGAGACCAAACACTCATCCCAGATTTTTTCTGTCCAGGGCCTCGTGAAGGTTGTAATAAAGGATAAAACCACAGCTTAAAAACATGGAAAAACATGTTTTCCATGAGTTTTTCCTTGTGGAAAAACAACTGGAGCTGTTCCTGTTAGTGTTTTCCAAGAGGGAACAGCCCTGGGAGAGCCAGATCTGCTCCTGGAGCAGGGCAAGAGCCACCCATGGACCTCCTGGTCTCCTCACCGGGGTGTGGATTTCCATCTGGGTTTGTGGGAGAGAGGAAAAAACAGGACAGGGGGAGATTGAGGGATTTGTGGCAGGATTCCTCCTACTTGGAGCTCAAAACCCAAACTTCAGGACAGGATTGAAAAGGAGGAGGGAGAGTTTGGGATCATTTCTTGTAATCCAGCAGATAAAGATCAGATTTTGTTGCCAGGAGGAGAAGGAGGAAGGTTGGGTACAATGAGTGGCACAGCTGGAGAAATAATTCAAAATTAATTAAAATAAAAAATAAATTTTGAAATTAATTTAAAAATAACTAAATAAATAATTAAAAATATATTTAAAATCCCATTGTGCTGAGCAAGACAACCCAGTGTTGCCACCTTTACACCCCAAAATCAGCTGTAGTGTTGCCCTATGGTTTACAGGTGTGGGGGTGTATTATGGGATGTTCCTGGGGAATTTTTTCCAAATTAGGGGGATGGAGCAGTGGAATGGTTTTCCAGCCTGGGGGTTTGGGGTTTAATTAAACTTGATCAAACACTGTCATTAAATCCTCTTTGTCACCCCAAAAATATCCTCTAGGGGAGGTCTCAGTGCTCCAAATTCCAGTCTGAAGAGGGAGCTGGACTCCATGATCCTTCCAACTTCCATTTTGGGACATGGAATTGTTTGGGATGGAAGAGGCCTTAAAAATCCTCCAATTCCAGGCCAAGGGAGTCCAAAAAAGATTTGGATTCTAGGGTTTTTACAGGCCTCTTTCCAGTTTGGGATATGGAATGGTTTGGGATGGAAGGGACCTTAAAAATCATCCAATTCCAGGCCAAGGGAGTCTAAAAAATATTTGGATTCCAGGGTTTTTACAGACCCTTCAAATTCAGGACATGGAATGGTTTGGGATGTCCTTAAAAATCATCCAATTCCAAGCCAGGGAGTCCAAAAAATATTTGGATTCCGGGGTTTTTACAGGCCTCTTTCCAGTCTGGGACATAGAATGGTTTGGGATGGAAGAGGCATTAAAAATCATCCAATTCCAGGCCAAGGGAGTCCAACAAAGATGTGGATTCCAGGGTTTTTACAGACCCTTCAAATTCAGGACATGGAATGGTTTGGGATGTCCTTAAAAATCATCCAATTCCAGGCCAAGGGATCCAACAGAGATTTGGATTTGAGGGGTTTTATAGCTCCCTTTCCAACCTGAGGCATGGAACAGTTTGGGTTGGAAGGGGCCTTAAGGATCATCCAATTCCAAGCTCGTATTCTGTGATTCCGTGATTCCCCAGGATGGAGAGCATTGGGAAGAGCTTTGGGAAGGGTTTTTAGTCAAACCCATGGATGGTGGCCCCATCCAGGGGTAAGGAATGAACACATCCCAAAGAATCCAGCCAATCCTAGAACCAAACCCTAACAATCCCCTCTCCCCTCCCGCCCCGCTCCGGGCGCTCTCCCGACGTCTGTGCCGGACGTCAGAGTCTCCCATCTGGATCTAAACTCAATTTATGCCACAGATCAGATGGATGGGACATTCCAGGTGTTATCAAATCATGTCAGCAGCCAACAATCCCATTAAAATCCGGGGCCGAGGCAGAGGGCTCATAAATCCCTCTGCTAAGTGACGAGAGCGGCGCGGCTCCAAATGTTAACAGGATTCTGCAGCCGGAGCGTTATTGCCGCCAGATTCCAATCGCTCCCGGCTTTTCCGAGGCTCCCAAACTCCAGCCTGACATTTATCTCCAGCAAACAACCACCAACACTTCCATTTTCTCTGACGAACACCCGACCTCTCCCACGGAGTTGTTTAACACCATTAAGGGTTTTATTGCCACCGGTTCCTCGCCGCCCGTGGCCGGTTGCTCCGTGACATTTATTAGGGGAACTCGTTAGCCACGGAAGGCTCCAAGGAGCTTGATTTAAATGAGGGATAATTTGTTTGCACGCCCTCATTCCGTGTGATTTCTTTGGCTTTCTCCCCCCTCCAGCCCCGGCGCAGCAGACAACGGGAACCTCTCAGCGAGGAGCCGACAGCCAATTACCAGGTGAAAAGCTGGGAATGAAGTGGCATTTTGGGAAGTCACTTCCCAGGTGGGAAGGGCTGCTTGGCCTTGGGATCGAGGGATGTGGCACTGAAGGAGTTACACGAGGTTAAAACTCAGTTTGGGCTTGCTGGGTTTGCCCCAGGGGTGTTGAGGTGGTGGTGAAGGAACTGGAGGGGGTTTTGATCCAGAAAAACACACTGGGAGGATCCTCCTGGAATTCCCTGAATGTAAACATTCCTGTGAAAATATCCCACCCAAAATCCAGGGTTTAACCATCCCTTTGGAAAGGTCAGGGGCCACCATGGTGGATGGGTGGTGGAGCACCACGGAGCTCATCCCACGCTGGGAATCCAACGCTGGAGGTTCCCCTTTGTCCCCTCTGGGAATCCACTCGGATCCCCTCCTTTATCCACTCCCACATATCCCCATTTTTCCTGGAGAATCCACTCCTGGATTATCCCCATTTTTCCACTCTGGGAATCTACTCGGATTCCCTCCTTTGTCTGCTCTGGGATCCATCCCAGGGGTGGGTGTGGGGATGTTTTCCAGAAAAAATCCAACCCTGGATTTTTATGGGACTGTTTTTATGGATTTTTTTTGGACTGTTACGGGGATGTTTTCCAAAGTGTGGCCTTTTCCCACCTGGATCCAAAACCTGGATGGTTCTGGGGTGTTTTCCCACCTGGATCCAATCTGTGGGGTGGGTGTGGGGTGTTTTCCCACCTGGATCCAATCTGTGGGGTGGGTGTGGGGTGTTTTTCCACATGGATCCAATCTGTGGGGTGTTTTCCCACATGGATGCAGCCCATAGGAAATCTGGGGTGTTTTCCTACCTGGATCCAACCCCTGGATGGTTGTGGGGTGTTTTCCCGAGTAGATCCAGCCCCTGGATTGTTGTGGGGCATTTTTCAGAGAGAATCCAACCCCTGGGGAGTGTGGGGTGTTTTCCCACCCAGATCCAAGCCATGGGAAGTGTGGGGTGTTTTCCCACCCGGATCCAACTCGTGGGAATTTTGAGGTGTTTTCCCACCCGGATCCAACTCATGGAGACTGTGGGGTGTTTTCCCACCTGGATCCAAGCCATGAGGAATGTGGGGTGTTTTCCCACCCGGATCCAGCCCATGGGAATTGTGAGGTGTTTTCCCACCCGAATCCAGCCCATGGGAATTGTGAGGTGTTTTCCCACCCGGATCCAAGCCATGAGGAATTTGGGGTGTTTTCCCACCCGGGTCCAGGCTGTGGGAATTGTGGGGTGTTTTCCCACCTGGATCCAAGCCATGGGAATTGTGGGGTGTTTTCCCACCTGGATCCAAGCCATGGGGAACTGTGAGGTGTTTTCCCACCCAGATCCAGCCCATGAGGAATGTGGGGCGTTTTCCCACCCGTATCCAAGCCGTGGGAATTCTGGGGTGTTTTCCTGCAGCTCGGTGCCTGCAGCCCATGGATGAGGGCTCCTGCCAGCACCATTCCCTGCTCTGGTACTTCCACGGCCCCAGCAGCTCCTGCCGGCCCTTCCTGTTCGGGGGCTGCCGAGGGAACAGCAACCGCTTCCCATCCCGGCGGGAATGCCAGCGCCACTGCCAGAGCTCCCCAGGTGAGGCTGGGCCCCTCAAATTCCCTCTTCCTCCAGCCAGGAGCGAGGCCAGGGTGGGAAAGCCCATCCAGGATTTGCTCACTCCCAGTTCCTTAAGGTGGAAGTGCCAGGGAGTTGCAGGGTTTTCTTCCCTTCCCATTCCCAGATCGTTCCCAGGAGCTCCTGGACATCTCCCGTGGGTTAATTCCATGGATGTGTGCATGGATCCACCAGGCCCAGATATTTTGGATGTCTTTTGTGCTTTCCAAGGACTGAAATTGTGCAGAAATTTGGGGATTTGTGCCCTCAGAACCCTGGGATGTTCCATCCAAACACACTCTGGCATCTCCAGGCAGAACCTGAAGTCAAACCTAGACCAGTTTAGGACTGGATTAACACCCCAGGCTTGGGGTCTCACCTCATCCAGGGATTCAGTGGGAAAATCTGGAAGCACAGCTTGGCTTCCATTGCCAGATCCGGGGGTTTTGGGATCAGTTTGTGTGGATTTTCCCTCCTCTCCAGCTCATCCCAAATGGGGCCTGGCAGGAATGCAAACCCTGCTCCAAGCAGGGCAGGAGCTGTGACTGATCCCCGCCTTCCAAGGAAAATATTCCTCTCCCAGAATTCCCTCTGCCTGGAAACCTCTGGGAAAAAAATCCGTGAATTCTCCACAATCCATTAAAAAAAACCTCTGGCAAGGTTCATCTGCTCTGGGTTTGAGGGAAACTGTAAAAAGAGAGAGGAGTTAAAGGCTCAGATCCATAATTTTGGGAATCACTCCAAGGGCTTGAGATCCAGGCCCAGCAGCACCAGGAAATGACTGAAACTCCTCCTGCCCATTTTTTTTCCCAGGGAATTTGCTTTAGGAGCCACTGAGAATTTCACAAAGCAGCTGAAGGGACCTCCAGCGTGCTTTGTGGGAAGAAAAAAACACTGGGAATGGGATTAATCCCAATCCAAGACAGATCCTTGAGCCCTCCATGTGCCCATTTTCCATGGCTGATCCTAAACAGAGCCAGGATCCAGCCAGGATTGGGATATTTGCTTTTTGTGGATGTGGGATGGGACAATCCCAGGGTGTCAGGGACCTCCCAAGCCGCTGTGAGCTTGGGAATTCCAAGAGGGAATTCCCCAAACTGCAGCCAACATTCCCATTTTTTCCTCTTCTCTCTTTTTCCCAAATCAGGCAGAGGGAGATGAGTGGCTCCAAGTGCTTCATTTAAATCCAGCAGGATTGGGAGGAGTCACCCCAACACCTCCAGGATGGACGAGGAAAACAAACACCAAGACACTGGAAAAAAAGTTGTCGGAAAACTGGAAATATGGACATTATGGGATGAGGAGAGGGAAACCTCTGGATGCTCAGGAAAAGGACGGTTTGGAATTCCTGAGCCAAACCACGTGGCACAAAATTCCCGAGTTTTATTTTTGTAAAATAAAAGTGTCTCAATGCTGTGGAATTCTGGAGCATTTGCCTGGAAGAGGGAAACCTTGGGAATGGCAGAGAAAGGTGGGAAAATCTATTTTTCCAGCTGGATTAGGTGGAGCCCCATCCCTTTTGGCCTGGCCCTAAATTCCCTGGGGCCTTCAGAATTCCCTCCTCCTCCTCCTCTTGGGAATTCCCTGGGGCCTTTAAGAATTCCCACCTTCTCCTTCACTCCTCCTTCCTTTGGGAATTCCCTGGGCAGGTTAAGAGGAGCCATCCAAAAATCTCGAAGAAAAAAACAGGGATCCAAGCCAGGCTTGTCCCTAAAAAAATCCACTTCCAATTCCTCAAGGAGCTTGGAGCTGCAACTTGTGGAAATCCAAGAAAAGGTGTGGAAATCCAGGAAGAGGGATTCCAAATCCCGGGATTTTGGTCCCATGGAGACACAGACACAGCTGAGAGGAGTTCTGCCCCATGGGACAATCCCTGGGAAAGGTTACAGGATTTCCAATGGGAAAACAAGGATTTATTAAAAGTTTTCCGTGTAATTTGGTAAAACTGAGCTCAGATTTCCCAGGTTTCAGAGTTCCCAGAGTTCAGATTTCCCGGGATTTGGGGTTGGCTCTTTGCTCCTGGTAGCACAGGTAGGAAAAGGATTCCCTCACTCCCAAAATCCCGGTACTGGGCAGGGAGGAGCAGAGATTTGGGGACTTTCCTTCCTTTTCCTCCTCCCCCCAAAAAAAAATGAAAAACATGGAATTTTGGAAGCCTTGGCAAGGAGCCATTTCCACAGTGACAATTCCAACCTCTCCTCCTGAAATCCTGGTCTGTCCTGAGATGTCCTTGGGCAGGAAAAACATTCCGGAAAAATACTCCCTGGGAGAAGAAACAAAACATTCCCGGTGGGAAAAGCGGCGTCACCCGGAAGGGAGGGATTGGGCTTTTCCACAGGGCTCGGGAACAATTGGAATTCTGAGAAATATTCCCACATTTTCCCATTTTCCTGGTTGCCTTGTGTGAATTTACCCAGGAATGCTGAAAGATGCTGATCTTGGGATGCTGCAGCCTCTGGAATTCAACATCCCAGGAAATATGGAATGAGTGGAATTCCAGCCCCCAGGGAGTAAAGTCCATCCAAGGAAATAAAGGATTTGAAATAATCAGGAAAGAATCTCATTCCCAAATTAAATGATTAGGGAAAGGGAGGTTGGAGGTTCCCTGGTTGGAAAATAAAATCATGGAATGGTTTGGGATTGGAGGGACTTTAAGGAATATCCAATTCCACCCCACCATGGACAGGGAATCTTCTGCTCTCCCAGGCTGCTCCAAGTCCCAATGTCCAGCTGGACATTCCAGGGATCCAGGGGCAGCTCCAGCTGCTCTGGCAATTCCAGCCCAGCCAGGAATTCCTTCCCAAAATCCCACCCATCCCTGTTTAAAGCCATTCCTTGAGCCCTTTTGCTCCATATTAAAAATCCTCTTCATTCCATTCCATTAAGGATAACAACCTATTCGATAATTAAGTGCTCATTAAGAACTCAACATGGAATTATTTCCCAAATCCAAAAGCAAAAATCCCTCATTCCCCCTGTGCATCCCTTGGGAGGCTCTTCCCGATTCCTTTGGATGCTCTGGGACCTGGAGGCCAAATCCTGCTCCAGCCTTTAGGATTTGGAGCCAAAAGTTGTGGGAATTGGTCACCAAGGCTGAGGAGACTCCAAGCAGCAGAAATTCCATGAAAATCCTTTTTAAAACTGGGAATCCACAGGGGTGGAGGCAGCAGGAGGGGAGGATTGGGCCTGTGGGATCTGGGAAACTGAGGAAATTCCCTTCCTGTGTTGTTATTCCCAGAAATTTTTGGCCAATCCCTTCATTCTCCCTTTCCAGCCCAGTGCCATCCCTAAAAATCAGACCTCACCTCCCCGGCTTTGGAATTCCCAAATCCCAAATGCAAGGCTGGAGAAGGATTTGGCCTCCTGGCCCAGGAGCATCCAAAGGAGTTGGGAAGAGCCTCCCAAGGGAATGATTTGGTTCAAAACTCTTCACCAAAATTCACATTCCTGAGGGATCCAAGAGATTTAATCCCGGTTTGGAAGAGCTGGGAAGGGAAAACCAATATTTAGGCAGGCCTAAGGTCAAGCTCAGGGGATTAAACCCAGCTTAAATTCCCATCAGAGCTCGGGGAAATTGAGAACTGGAATTTTTTTTAATCCCCCCTGGATTAATCAAATGTTCCCTACGGATTTGCCATCCAGGCATTCCGGGAACGGAGCCCCGGCGCTTCCCTGGAAATGTCAGGGCAGCCTAATCGAGTTCCTTGGAATTATCTCAGGGCAGGAGTGGGGGGAGAGGATTGAGGTTTCCTGGTGGCTTTCCAAGCAGAAAATTCCTGAACATGCCTTGGAGAAAGGCCTTGGGAAAAGCCAAACCGGGCGGTGGAAATCTGGGATTTAACGCGCATCGAGCCAGCTCACAAACCCACATGGAAATTGGAAATAAGAGGGATTCTGGATCGGGATTTGCGGCCCAGGGATGCAAATCCATGGATTTAGGAGCACTCCCAGCCTCTCTGCAGGATGGGATTCCTGGAATATTGGCTATTGGAATATGGATTCCTGCATCCAGCCCGCGGCAGTTCCTAAGCAACCCCGACAAAGGAAAGGGATGGAGAGGGAGGAGAGGCTGGGCCGGGATAATTTGGTAATTGGATAACGAGCCAGCCCTGAAATGGCCACGGCCGAGCCTCATCCAGCACCGCTGGATGTGCCGGGAGATGGGATCGGATCCGACAAAATCCTGCCAGATGGAAAAGCAGCCCGGAAAATCCCTGCTGGTGTTCCCAGCTGGAATTGGGCTCATTAATTATGGATTTTTACAGTGGGAGCAATTAAAGATGCCCTTAATGGAGGGCTGGGTTTAATCCTGGAATCATGGAATGGTTTGGTTGGAAAGGATCCTAAAGCTCATCCCATGGCCAGGGACACCTCCCACCATCCCAGCCTGGCCTAAATCTTGGAAAAGCCTCCGTGACTCCCTCCAGCCTCTCCTGGAGCTTTTCCTGCCATCCACAGTCCTGAAATCCCTGGGGTCTTAATCCCTTAATCCCTGGGATCCCACACGGTGAAATCCCTGTCCCCGTTCCCAAATCCTTGTCCCTATTCCCAAATCCCTGTCCCTGTTCCCAAATCCCCGTCCCTGTTCCTAAATCCCCATCCCTGTTCCCAAATCCCAAATCCCCATCCCCATTCCCAAATCCCCATTCCGTTTCCCAAATCCCCATCCACCCTCCCAAATCCCTGTTCCCAAATCCCCATCCACCCTCCTAAATCCCCATCCCTGTTCCCAAATCCCCATCCCCATTCCCAAATCCTTGTCCCTATTCCCAAATCCCCATCCCTGTTCCCAAATCCCAAATCCCCATCCCCATTCCCAAATCCCTGTTCCCAAATCCCAAATCCCCATCCCCATTCCCAAATCCCCATCCCATTTCCCAAATCCCCATCCACCCTCCCAAATCCCAAATCCCTGTTCCCAAATCCCCATCCACCCTCCAAAATCCCAAATCCCTGTTCCCAAATCCCCGTCCCTGTTCCAAAACCCCAAATCCCTATTCCCAAATCCCTGTCCCTGTTCCCAAATCCCCATCCCCATTCCCAAATCCCCATCCCTGTTCCCAAATCCCCATCCACCCTCCCAAATCCCCATCCCTGTTCCCAAATCCCCATCCCCATTCCCAAATCCTTGTCCCTATTCCCAAATCCCCATCCCTGTTCCCAAATCCCCATCCCCATTCCCAAATCCTTGTCCCTATTCCCAAATCCCCGTCCCCATTCCCAAATCCCCGTCCCCATTCCCAAATCCCCATCCCCATTCCCAAATCCTTGTCCCTATTCCCAAATCCCCATCCCTGTTCCCAAATCCCAAATCCCCATCCCCATCCCTGTTCCAAAACCCCAAATCCCTCTTCCCAAATCCCAAATCCCCATTCCTGTTCCCAAATCCCAAATCCCCATTCCTGTTCCCAAATCCCCATCCCTGTTCCAAAACCCCAAATCCCAAATCCCCATCCCTGTCTGGAGCAGAACCAGCCCCCCTATCCCTGCATCCCCAAGGAATTCCCATCCCCATTCCAAGGGTGGAATTGCATCCCAACACCCCTGGGAAGGTAAAAAAAAACCTTGGAAAATCCTGGAAAACCTTCAGTGCCCGTCAGGAAAGGGGGAAAAAACAGGATGGGTTTGTCCCTGGAGATCCAAGGAGAAATCCCACTTTGGGCTGTTTGTCCTTGGCACTGAAACCACACGGAAAATCCCAAAAAAAAATCCTGGAAAGGCACCAAAACCCACCTGGAGGGGATGAAACATTCCCTGAACTCTTCCAGCATTTTCCAGCTGCTGCAGCCTCGGCAGTGGGATCGGATCCCGGTTCTGGGCGCAGGAAAAAGCAGGAGCAGCTCCAAGATCCTTGGGAAAAAATTGAATTTTCCACTGGGACACAGAAAATCAGGGAAAACTCCCAGAGTCTGAGTGAGGATCCAGGTTCCCTTCACAAATTCCTGGATTTTTTTATCCGTGCTGCCCACGTGTCCAGGGAGGTGCAAAAATTCCCTTTGGAAAAGGGGCAGGAGATGCAACAGAGGGAAAGAAATTAAAACATTCCAGGAAAAATTGGAGGATTTTGGATTATTTTTTTCTCTTCCAACACTTTTTTCCTCCTCTTCCTTTGGAGAGAAAGCAGCAAAATCCAAGTTTAATTCCAAGTTTAATTCCAAGTTTAATTCCATGCCCAGGAGCTGCCACTGGATTGGATTTTTGGGTTTGGCCCAAGTGATTTTTGGGAATTTCCTAAATAAGCCCCAAATCCAGTTTTTGCCAAATCCTGACATTCCGTTCGCATCCAAAGCTCCGGGCTTTAATTAACTGAATTAATTTTTAATTAATTGAACTAATTTAAGTCACTCCCAGGAAGATGAAACGGGGAGAGCTTTGTGGAAATACAGGGATGCAAATGCCCTCGGAAAAGGTGGAAAAAAGC